TGCCAGTATAGGCTTCAGAAGTCTGAAGCTGTCTTGCCCTCTGTGGTCCAAGCTTTCCCTTAAGTGAAATGCTGATCGGTTTTTCATAGTGGCAAAAATACAATCTGGAGCGGGAGAAGTCGTAACCTATAGACCTCACCTTTGAAACCAGACCAGTTGACTTGGACAATAAAGAAAATGTCAGGCAGAAAACGAATGTTTGATAAGCTCAGTATGCAAGGAGCTGTCACTGTGTCCCACTTGTCAGCTTTCTGTCCGCACAAAAGAGGATAATTGAATTGGAGAAAAGTATTCCTCTCAAAACAGGTATAGTTTTTACATCTTACACACTTCACAGATTTCAGAATTTTTCAAGTAAAGACAGTAAAGTTCAGATGCACATTTCTTGTCTAAAACAAGCACTGACAGTGAAAATTCTGATGCAGACAAAAGCCCAAGTTTGTGTCAAGAATTTCAGCTTTGATAATATGTTCTAGTCTAGACGAGAAAGAGCCTTAACAACCAAGCACAGTGAGAGATGATATAAACTGATTAATGTCACAAGACAGTAACCTCAGATTTAGAAGATCTTTGAGCATTAGTAAGCAATTTTCATGTTTTATTCTGCTGTCAGAATCATTCCATTAGGGATTTGTTTTCTGTAGCACATGGAATCATGTGAGAATTTTATTTTTGATGGAACTTCCTAGATGTATGTCAGGCAAGAATAAGATTGTGGAAAGGTTTTGTTAAAAAAATTAGTAGTTGAAAAAAATAGTATTCAGGGTGTGTCTGTAAACTGTATACTAAATGCACATGTTATGTAAAGCATATGAGCACAATCTAGAGAACGAATCTGTTATCATCATATGCTTTACAGGTCATTCAGCTTTCACCAGCTGTCGGCCCCAGCTTCTGCCAACCTAGCAGTTCAAAAAAATGCAAATGAGAGTAGATCAGTAGGTACTGCTCCGGCGGGAAGGTAACGGCACTCCATGCAGTCATGAGAATGGTCAACCCTCCTGTTTAAGGAGCTCCATTGGCTGCCGTTCATTTTCCGGTCCCAATTTAAGCCCTGAACGGTTTGGGACCCGCCTACCTGCGTGACCGCATTTCTGTGTACGAACCCACATGATGTCTTCGATCATCTGGAGAGGCCCTGCTCGCACTCCCACCTCCTTCACAGGCGCGAGTGGTGGGGACGAGGGAGAGGGCCTTCTCGGTGGTGGCCCCCCGACTCTGGAACTCACTCCCCAAGGACATCAGGCATGCCCCAACTCTGGCAGTCTTTAGGAGGAGCCTGAAAATGTGGCTGTTCCAGTGTGCCTTCCCAGAATAAGGAAAATTCTCAGCAATATGCCCTCAGAATGCACTTTACTACTGGTTTGGGATTGACTGTGTTCCCTCATATCTCTATGAAAACCCTATACCAGTTATATCCTACCTTGTTCATGCCCAGCGTTTATTTTTTTAATTTTTAAACTATTACATTTGGCCCGGCCATAGGTTTTTAAATCCCTGTGTGTTATTGGTTATATGTGATTTATATTAATTGTATTGTATTTATTGTTTTGGTTTATTGCTTTTGTTTATTGATGTACTGTTGGGCTTGGCCTCATGTAAGCCGCTCCGAGTCCCTTGGGGAGATGGTGGCGGGGTATAAATAAAGTTTTTATATTATTATTATTATTATTATTATTATTATTATTATTATTATTATGCTGGCCACATGACCTTGGAGGTGTCTATGGACAACGCCGGCTCTTCGGCTTAGAAATGGAGATGAGTACCAACCCCCAGAGTCGGACACAACTAGACTTTATGTCAGGGAAAAATATTTACCTTAGTAGAAATCTAACATAGGAGATTGCTGTTCAAAAAGGGAAAAGTCAAAAGTTCCACCGTGTCTCAGAAGCAGTGGATCTGTCATGATGATCTATTTGAATCCTGGCCAGAATATTGCATTGCGCAGTCAACTAGTTGTTTCTGTTGTTGCCTTTTTATAGACAGGGACTAAAGTTAAGTGGGCATGGCTGAATTTGGTCAGAAATGTGGATAGGAGACTACATGCCTCATGTCAGAGCAGGATGTATGTATAATAAATCAAACATTCTTGAACAAATTTCTCCCAATTCAAATTGGCGAGGAGGGTAGTGTTCATTTCATGTTGTACTCATTCTTTCTTTTATATGTGTGTACTTGGAAGATAGAACAGAACAACCGTGAATAGGCAGTGCCTTTTAATTAGTGAAATTTAAGACAGATGCATATCCGGAGAAGTAATGAGCTTCATCAAAGCAAGACCTCATTGGATCAAAGTCAGTTTAAGATAAGGGCATCTCAAGGTCACAGAGGGAGCTGCCCAACACTCCCATTTGCATAAAAAATTACTGTCAGAAATAGGCCGTGGAAGCAGCCCTGGCATTTTGATCTCTTGGCCTTTGTCATGGAGATTCCTTGCAGAGAAGGGAAGAAGGCCAGTGTCCCAGATAATGATTAACTGTTTTAATGGCATTCATTCATTCATTCACTCATTCCGCACTAACTACTCATGCAGAAAAAAGGGTTATGTAAAATGACATTAGAAGAAAATCATTTGTAATCGTTGCATCGGGGCTGCACTTTGAGGAGACATTAGGAGTAAATCCGTGGCGTGGTAGGCTTATGCTTTATCTTCTGATATTTACTGAGTTTACTGGTGCATGAAAAGCTTTCAGCAAGAATAGCAGATGGGATGAACCTTTCATAGGTAATGCTATCTACTGGGTTATTACTTCTATATATTGATAGTGAAGTAATCTTCAAGATATCGCCCTACAAAATATAGATTATTTAAATGTTTGTCACAAAAAATCCTATAACACAGAGCAGCTACGATCATGAATGCTTTATTTTGTACCTATTGGATCAGAGGCCTTAAATGCCTTTTTAAACCTGAAATAATGAGAATAGAGTGAGGTTGACATCATATTGGGTTTTTTCCCCCTTTGCCTTTTGGACAGCTGTAGGAAGATATGCATAGTTAATCTGAATAGCAAGTATTCAATTTAATTTGTCTCTTTAAATCTGACCTTTTCAATTACATAAACAAAAGAAGTGCCTTGCAGACATGTTTTGATGTCATATGAACATATTCTTCCTGCCTCCAAAGGTCCTCGAGGACTTTTGTGAGATTTGTAAATAGAAAAGCAGATTTTGACTGTTCATGTTTCCAAATGCAGATATAAAATTGTATCCTTATAAAATTGGGGGGTGAGCATACTTTCTGCTGCTTATTTTTACTAGATTTGATTTTCAGCTGTTGTTGTTACATTTCCTGAAATAAGCAACATTTCCAGATACAGCTATTGTTGTTGTGACTTGCACTATAGAACACATACTACAACCTTTAAAACATTAGAAATCATAGTTTAAACTCAAGGATCTGTTTTAGATAATACTTTTTCCATGATGAATTCTAAATTTTAATAATTTGAAGAAAATTAATGTAATAACTGGTTATCAGGCTTTTATATTTTCACTCAAAGCTTCCAAAAGACAATTCACAGATTCAAAATTTAAAACAACACATAATTAGCTTTGTGTGTGTGTGTGTGTGTGTGTGTGCCAGGAGTGATTTGAGAAACTCCAAGTCACTTCTGGTGTGGGAGAATTGGCCGTCTGCAAGGACGTTGCCCAGGGGACGCCCGGATGAATTGATGTTTTTATCATCCTTGTGGGAGGCTTCTCTCATGTCCCCGCATGAGGAGCTGGAGCTGATAGAGGGAGCTCATCCGCCCCTCCCCGGATTCGAACCTACGACCTGTCGGTCTTCAGTCCTGCCGGCACAGGGGTTTAACCCACTGCGCCACCGGGGGCTCCTACATAATTAGCTAAAACAACAAAAAGCATTTGAAACAGCTGCCACAGTAAACACTCCCTTGTAACAGATGACCCTTAATTAAAAACAGGTAATAATTGAAAGCCTGTTTATGTAGGAAAGGAACCATGTGCAGATCCCACAGTAATGATGGCACCATAACAGACAAGGCCCCATCTTTCATGTCCAGTGGAATTTTTTAAAGTGAAGCACAATGGTCTATGTTGAAATAATGAGTAGCTGGCCATTAGAACAATTACTCTTTAGAGGAGAATAAGAGGGTCATAGTCAGAAATTAAATCCTTACACTTTAAAGCAGTGGTTCCCAACCCTTTTTTTGACCAGGGACCACTTTGACCAGGGACCACTCTCCAACATTAGTACCAAAAGGGTTACAAATCTGTTTTTGGTCAATTTTAGATTCGGTTTGGTTACTTGGGATGCCGATTCAGAAAATTGCATTGGATAGACCACATCAGCTCTAGTTTCTGATACGGAACATATGCCATCCAGTAGTCACCATCTGCTCGCCCACAGAAAACCATATTTAATGAGCCTCGTCACTATCAGTGGGTTTTGTGAGACCAGTCACTCTCGTTGCAATGGTGTAGTAACAGTGAGGCCATGGACCATATTTTATTTCTTGTGGACCACTGGTGGTCCATGGACCACAGGTTGGGAACCACTGCTTTAATGAAAGTTACAGCATAGACTGTACTGCAGGCCTGCACAACCAATGACCCTCTGGGTGTTTTGGACTGCAGCTCCCAGAATCCCTGTCCAGTGGACAAGTTGGCTGGGGCTTTTGGGAGTTGGAGGCCCAAACTTTTGGAGGGCCACTGGTTCTGCAGGCCTATTATAATTGTTCTTCTGGATTTTGGTTGTTTTTACTATATATTCAACATTAAGCCTTGCTATCTTGCTAAAATTAGTATCCTTTCTCTTCACGCTGTGGCGCTGCCATGTGTGCAACTCAATTCCAAAGTGTGTTTGCTTGAAAGTAACCCTTTTCTTTAAAATAAACATTTGTATCAAGATTTCTTTAAATTATGTAGCCACTAAAGTACTACTGTTGACTGCATTGTAAAAGGGCTTACTTTAACTGCAAATAATCACATTTGAATCTTATCTAGAATTACTATGATTTTTTTTTCTGTTCCAGACAAAACCAGGACCACTGAAGAGGGCAGATTTTTCTTCTGATCATACTTCGATGTACTGTTACAACTGTGCAGAGGAAGGCCATTATGGATATGTAAGTTTCTGTGGATTCTGCTGTTGTTAACGAAGCATGACATTACCAAGAAAAATCAACCACCTACAAAATCCTGCTGTCTGAATGCTCAGTTATAGTAATCCAAGATCAATATAAAGTCAGTTATTACAATGAAAAGTTATTCCAGTATAATTTACAAATAAATCGTGGACCAGCCTAAATATGTAGATATTTGCCATCAATGCTGGAGTGAGTAGCCTTTGCTACTTTTACTTCTCAGAGAAAGGGGAGGTCAAGAACAAAGTTGAAGTTTGAATCATAGAATCATAGAATAATTGTAAGAGACCACATGGTCCATCTAGTCCAACCCCCTGCCATGCAGGAAAAACACAAAGTATCCCTGACAGATTGCAATTCAGCCTCTGTTTAAAAGCTTCAAAGGAAAGAGCTTCCACCACACATTGAGGCAGAGAGTCCCACTGTTGAACAGCTCGTACTGTCAGGAAGTTCTTCCTAAGGTTCAGGTGGAATCTCCTTTCCTGTAATTTGAACCCATTGCTCCAAATCCTAGTTTCATGGGCAGCAGAAAACAAACCTGCTCCCTCTTCCTTATGACACCCTTTCACATATTTACACATGGTGATCATGTCTCCTCTCAACCTTCTCTTCTGCAAGTTAAATGTACCCAGTTGGGTCTGGTCTCCAGACCATGGATCGATCATGTAAGTCACCCTCCTCTGGATACCTTCCAGCTTGTCAATATCTCTTTAATTGTGGTGCCCAGAATTGTGCAAAGTATTCCCTGGATCCTTTTGATGCAGCCCAAAATCACATTGGCTTCTTTATCTTCTGCATCACAACGTTGGCTCATATTGTTGTCCACAAAGACTTCAAGATCTTTTTCACATATATTTTGATCACCATATACAAACTCTACCAATATTAGTGTGGGTAGGCAACCACCAAGAAAACCCTGAGATGGCTTTAGATGTGCCATAAAATTATGTAATAAGAAACAGAACTTAATCTTGTAGTCTCATAACAGAGGAGGTGACCGCTCAATGTATGCATTACAGACTCAAAAGAAAATAAGATAATAGAAAATTCAACAGTTGATGGCACTCCAGAAATGCATGCATTGCAGTTTCCAGAGGTTTAGACTTGCTGAAACTCGTTCACAAAGTCCAGTTGGGAAGTTTCTTGCACAAGTCACATCATAAGGAATGGGAACTGCATCAAAGCAGCATCTTGTCATCATACTATGTGAATGAGAAGATTTTTAAAGCTTATTTTTAAACCAAACAACTCTTCAAAAGGAGTGTGGGCCAGTGCCAGGACACTAGAGAAGATTCCTCCAAAAAGGATAGTCACTGAGAAAGCAAAAGCCAAAGAAAGGACTACGACAAAGAAGCACATACGGAAAGAGGTGATTTTTCTAGAATGTCTCAAAAGTGTGCTAAATGGCCAGAACCTAAAATGAAATCCGTGTCTCACATTTATCTAAATAGCAAAGAGCTTCTTGTTGTATTCAAATTTGGTGCCCACAGCAAGCTGCAAGGGCTAAATAAAGTAGAGGATTTGCAGATGTGTCGTATATTCACTTTCCAAGCTGTCAATCAGATAAGAGCATTTCTCAAGTGGTTTGGTAAGAGGCTGAACTTTCCATCCTTTGTGTGTTACCTGTGGTGCTAAGGAGCATCCCCAGGGTATTTAACAGTACAAAGCGTGTGGCAGCAGTGGCAGCTTACTTGAAAAAGGGTCTGGGAAAGTGCATGTCATACACTACTGAGGTGATTATTCAATGCAGCGATGTTAAAAAGAGGAAGTAGGAGTGCCTGTTTTTAAAGGCTTGTGCTTTTTCATCCACTAGGGCTTTTCTGTCAACATATTGAAGGGGGAAAAGGCCATCTGTCTGCAGCATAAGCTCTCGACTTTGTACAGCATCTTTAGGAAGACCTTGGGGGAGTGTGCTCCTTAGCTATCAAATATTATCCAGGCTTCTACATATAGTCTTGTCTAAAAGTATTTGGGGTGGGGGGAGAGATCTTGGAAAATATTTCACATGTACAGATGGAAAATCATTGATTATTGCCTCTTTAAAAAAAACAACCTAAAAATCAATAAAGATTTCGCTCTTTATTTATTTATTTTATTCCAATAAAAATGTTTTATAAAAGCCATATTCTATATCCTCTCTGCCTAGAGATGTTAACATATCTGGAACATGGCATGCTGACTTCGAATTTTTAAAGGAGCTACCTGCATTTTTCCATTCATCAGGTTCAGGGACTGATCTGGCTGAATAAAGCTCTACTTCCCATCTAGATCATTTGACACTCTTAAGTAGCAGATCTTACTTGAAAGTGCCCACTATTTTAGTCCATGTTCTGCTATTAGAAACACAGCTGGCTTTGAGAATAAGTTGTTAGACATTTTTATTTTCATTTTGAGGAATTGTATATTCCAACTATCTCAGGATTTTTTTAATATGCAAATTGGACACAATTCACCATTAAAAGAAGGCAATAAAAATAAACAGACAGCTCTTAATTTAGTTTTATATTCACCGAGCAAAAACAAGAATTGACAGCTTCTGTGAAGGCTAAATGCCAGTGCCAGTAAGCCTTTCTCTGGGAGGGCAGAAAAGCCTATCATGAAGTAGAACTACAAGAGTCTTCCAGGGCAGGGGATTTTACAATATCAAGAAGGCTTTTTCACAGATATCTACCAAATGTCCTTAAATCAGTGGTTCTCAACCTGTGGGTCCCCAGATGTTTTGACCCTCAACTCCCAGAAATCCCAGCCAGTTTATTAGCTGTTAGGATTTCTGGGAGTTGAAAGCCAAAATATCTGGGGACCCACAGGTTGAGAACCACTGTCTTAGATAAAGCAGGGGACTCAAAATGGATTGAAAATTGCAGCAGTATTGGGCTCTAGTTTCAGAACTCACTCCTAGGGTTTGCTTGTTTTTTAAGAGTGGGGGGCAGGGGAGGTTGCACACTGAAGCCATACTTTGCATTTTGCTGTAAAACAGCAAAAAAATCTCCTTTTTTGACCAACTACCTTTCTGGACAAAGAAGGGATCCAAGGGGAATATACCTATATTTACGGACTTGCCCTCAAATGTAATGCATCCAATAATGCAGGCATAGCACATCAGGGAGGCAGGCAGCATGAGTGATACTATTTGGGAGCCCATGCCTCTCCTCCAACCTTGCATAATTTCCAACTGACCTCATTCACAAAGTCTTCAAAACTGAGCAGAAGGTTTTGAATGCTTTGTGAATGGGGACAGTTGGGAACTGCATGGTACTGACCCTGGGGGGGAGGGGCAGGTGAGGGATCCTAAGGGCCACCCGGAAGGCAGGGTCTGTAGCTAAACGACTGAGTTGCCAGTTGCCTACTCCTAATGCTTCTCCAGGCACTAGAAAGCCCTGAAGCTGCCACCACCATCAGGAACAGCCTCAGTATTCCAGCTTCCTCCTGATCTTTTCATACAGGTGGATATATATGCACAATTCTAACACACCATCAAATCTAACGTGGACCTCTATTTTGGTAATGTCATTTGGTCAAAAAAAAGTGTGCATTAGACTCGAGTTAATATGGTACTACAAAAATAGATGGCATGGATTCGTGCACCTCATGGGCTGTATGTTGACCAACACTGTCTTGAAGGATGGATAGAGTGGTGCAGGAGTTGATGGTTATTTGAAATACTCCAGGCACAGAGTATAATGGAATTACCAGCATTTTATATTGAGCAGAGAAACTGTTACCATTGTTGGTGGAGCCATGGAGGAACCAAACTTTCTGGAGGACTCATTCCAATAAGCATGTTGGCTGCACTAGCTGAAGTATCAAAAAGCTTTTCAAAGGGAGCCCCCTATAGAATATACTTACCACAGTTTAGTCTTGAGATAATTGATGTGTGTTGTCTAGGAGTGGACACAGCTGCCTACATTGGGCAATAGGATTCCTGACCACAACCCCATCTGGTCATTCAGCAGTGAAGTCAGAGCAGATTCTGCCAGACAGAAATCATATTGAAAGAGGTCCAAATAAACAGATTCAAAATGCTAGTGTTGGGTTGCTTTCATGTAACCTCTCCTGGAATATAAAATTAAGATAGAACATAGGAGATGTAATGAAGTATTTTTCAGTAAATGAACATGCATCTGTGGATATGAATCATGCGCCCCTCAATTTCTTACTGTCACAACTCAGTTTAGATCCAAACATGGTTTCTTCTGTTAAGTTCTCTGCTCAGAAGTAAATGGAGACAACAAACTAAGTTCCTATTAATTTTCCTAGTTCCATTTTCTCAGAGTAGTGGGCAAAATCAAATTAGCTCTTTAATGTATAAATAGGAAAATGAATCTCACTCAGTAATCCAGTTAAAAGACCCAGTATGCTATGGTGCTTTTAGTCCTGGATTCGGTTTCCAGGAGACCTGGGCTCAAATCCTGGTTTATTCAGAAAACCCCTTGGTGATTTTAGGCAAGTCATATTCCCCCAATTTAAAAGAAAGGAAATAGCAAACCTCCTCTGAATAAATCCTGGCAAGATAAATCTGTGATAGATTAGCCTCAGGGCCACCATAAGACTGTAAAACAACAAATCGGCTTAAGTAAATCTATTGAAGCAGAGATACAAATGGAGTAGAGGAAGGAGAAGATTGAGTGTGTATAATATTCACTGTTTCTTTGTTTAATTTATATCCTGCCTTTTTTCCAACAAGGAAGCCAAGGAGGTTTATAACAAGGGTTAAACAGAATAGAGGCAATCCCCAGGTTATGAACAAGATAGGTTCTGTAGGTTTGTTCTTAAGTGCATTTATTTATTTATTTACAGTATTTATATACAGCTTTTCTCACCCCTGGGGGGACTCAAAGCAGCTTACACAGAAATAATGGCAAATTTCAATGCCTTACATATGTACACCAAATCACAATCAACACCATATAACTAAGCATAAAATCAATAAGACAAGTTGAATTTGCATATAATTTTTAAAACTGTAACTCCAGCCAAGTGTGTGTGTGCGCGCCTGCATGTACGCATGCTTTGGATAGCATAGGAAAGGATTTTGCTGACTGTTCCTCTGTTCAGAAGACTTCACCTCACTTTCTGTCCCCATTAGAATTGGATTTTGAAAAATGTGGCTGTGGGAAAAAAGATTGGTGATAAAGTTTCAGTGGAGACACCTTTTCCTCATGATAACTTTTTCAGGAGTAAATTTCCCTTGCAAGGGGGAGAGGTCTCTAACTTCCTGTTGTCTCACCCCCGTTCTTAACAATGAGTCATTTGTGAGTCGGATGTTTTTAACTCAGCGACTGCCTATACAACAAAAAACCTAATGGTGCAAAAGTTTAATTTTTTTAAAAGATCTAGTTTTTTAGCAAATACTTAAAACAGAAGTGGGCAAACTGCCGGGCCCTTTTCTTCAACTTATGCAACCCACAAAAATGTTTTTAAAAACAGTATTGAAATGGTTAGGCTCCCAGATGTACCTTTAAAGAGATATGTGTACATATTTAGATGCTGTACTTTGTTTAAAAGGAGAATGTCCATTGCTTGTGTCACTGAGGGCATTTGCTACTTTTTCTTTTAGCTGCATAATACAATAGCACAGGAGTTAATTGGTGCCATAGGAATGAATGGTCCAGGGAATCTGCATGCAGTCATGTAAATCCTGTTTATTACCTAAAGGGGATCGGCTTCTGAGTGTGAAACCAGATTATGAAAATAATTCTGGATAAATGAATCTAAAATCATCTTCAGTATGACCCTAGGGGCACCATAGTGCAATGGTTTGAATGTTGGATTAGGATTTCTGGGTGATCTTATACACTCTCAGCCTCAGAGAAAGGCAATAAGAAACCCACTGAAAAAATCTTGTTAAGATAGCTCCATGATAGGTTTGCCATAAAGTCACCATAGGTTGGAAACAATCTGAAGGCAAACAACAGCAACATCTTCAAAATGAACATCAAGTTTGTAATTATTTTGTGTGTGTGTGTGTGTGTGTGTGTGTGTGTGTGTGTGTGAAGAGTGACTTGAGAAACTGCAGGTTAGCTCTGGTGTGAGAGAATTGGCCTTCTGCAAGGACGTTGCCCAGATGACGCCTTGTGGGAGGCTTCTCTCATGTCCCCACATGGGGAGCTGGAGCTGACAGAGGGAGCTCTTCCGCTCTCTCCCCGGATTCAAACCTCTGACCTGTCAGTCTGGCACAAGAGTTTAACCCATTGCACCATCAGGGATGCCTAAATTTGTAATGATGCTTGATTTGTACAAGCTGCCCTTCTCTTGCAATAAGACACTCTCAGTGTATTCTACCCAGAGAACAAAAATCAGATGGAGATTAGTGTTTCTATTCTTTAGTTAGAAACCTTTGGTAAGAGCTCAGAGGAAAGTGTTAACACATAATAGCAACTTACATGTGTATGTAATGATAACAATGCTTAAATAGAAGCACAGAAAAACATTTTGCACAATATTTATCTGATGTCAGGAGTGATATTTGTACTATAAAATAGCAAAAACAACAGGTACCATTCATTTGGTTTGTTTTAGTAAATAGAATTTGTATTATGGAAAGCAGAGAAATAAAAAAAAATGTTTCATGAATTTCTCTTAACATATGACTTACAGGAATGCAGAGAAAAGCGGATGTTTGGAGGAACATTTCCTACCTTCCCTTTCATTTATTACTATGATAACGAATATGATATCAAGAGGAATGATGAGAGAGCAAAAAAGAGAGTGCAAGGTAGGATATACCTGTGAAGATCTTTCTGTGACCTTCTGTGGACTATTTTGTCCAGTGTAACCTCAACAGTCAGACTGCTTTGCATGTTTGTGACTTCTCCAATTTAAACTGAACAACTAAAAGGGGAAAACTTTAGGGATAACACTTCTGCTTAATGATGAAAGAAATCAGAATATAAATGTAGTCCCTGAAATTCCCCAGTTCATGAGGAATATATTTAGAACAATGAAATGCTGAATAAAATACTCATAGTCACATTTTCCCTTTATTAAGAAACAGAAAATTTTCACTTTCCTAATGTTTCATGATTGTATTTGGATAAAATGTTCTGGTTTCAAGTAGTGTTGATGTGATCTTTTTAAAAATTCCAAGACAAAGCTGTTTCTGAACATGAATACATTCATATTGCAAATCCTAAAAATATTTTGTCCACACTGTATTGATACTCTTCTATATAATAAATCAAAACAATCATTTTGAACATTGTGCATAAATAAGATTCATAGTTCCATGATAGGAAGCTTAGCTGTTATTGTATCCCCCCCATTTGAGGATTTCTAGGTCTAACATAAACTGTGTATGTGTGTGTCTTTATTATGAGCTTGGTTTAACTGGTGATCTGAAGGCCCATCCACACAAACACACACATACTTTTTATTACAGACTCTTGCAATACCTTATGATTGTGGCCATTTTTTGGCTTTAACTGAGTCCTCAAAAATGGATTGGATGTATAAAGATCAACTTTTCATTACACTGCTTTAGTTTTGTTGTGTGCAAGGGTACCGCTTGTGTTACACAGGTTCCAGACTGTGATAGATTTGAATACCAGAAGTTTGGCCTTTTAAATAGTATTGATTGTCTTTGTTTTGATAGAACTTCAGGAAGCCGGACTTCTGCCAATGGCTCTAAAGAGATCACAAATGGACAGTGCCCAGAAAAGGCACAGCCACAAGAAAAAAAGGAAAATGTCAAAGGAGCATGACAAGAGAGATGATAGGCATCATAAAAAGTTGAAGAAAAATTACTATGTGGACACACTCAAAGGAAGGAAGCATCAGAAAGATGACCATGGTGGCAACTATAGCCTGGAAGAAGACTTTCCCAGAGGAGGTCATGTGAATACTTTTAGAAAGAGCAGAAGAGCCAACACACACTGCAACTTCGACCTCCCAAGAAACAGGGGCAAAGCAGAAATCGTTCAGGCTTCTCTGGGGGCTGCCAAAAATAAGAAAAAGAAGAAAAAGAAAAAGAAGCAGAAGAGTTACACAAGCAGTAGTCCCACAAGGGATGAAAGTTTGTTTCTTATAAAGCAAAGAAAAAAGAAGCCAAAAGAGAAACCGAGTTTCTGAACTGACAAAAGTTGACTTAGACATTGGGGATTGGGACTTAAGAGATGACCTTGATGTTCTGCCTCTGCCTGTCCAGCAAAGCAGTGGGGCACTAAAACTGTCTCTATATAGGCTGGAGAACATTAGAAGAGAGTTCCCCTGTGCCATTCCATGAATATGGTATTTTGGGTTGTGACAATAAAGGATTATTGTATACAACCGTATATAAGTATTGATAGTTTTCTACAATTTCTGCATTTGAATTAAGTTTTGTTGAAAAGGAAACTTTGTGGGGTACAAGGGTAAAAAGTAAGTAAAAACAAAAGGTACACTGATCTTCTGTGTAGCATCCAGACATTTGGGTAAATGCTGGTGGCTGTTAAAGCACTTCTTAGAACATGTCGTTCATTGCATGCTAAAGAGTAAACAATTAGGCCACCTCACAGATGGGACAGAAGTGGTAAGAGAGAGGCAGCACAAAGTGATCTATTCTTACAGGACAGCCTATGAATTACCCAAGTATCATATGCTCTGACCATGAGAGTTACTTCATACTGTGACACAGTTTCTGAGAATTGTTGTAATAGTTCTTGAAAATGGGGAGAGCCGATGCGGGAAATTTCACTTTTACCACTCCGTTTATTGTTCTACTAGTCTACCAGGAAGTGGTTACCTTATTGGAGTTGATAGTCTTCTGCTTTAGATAATATACGGACGTCACCACTGGTTTGACTGGCAAGCCAGGTGAATGAGAACATGTCCTTTTCGCTCTCTCTTCTGTCTTTCCTTTCTTTCTTTTCGTTATTTCTTTACCATAGGAAAGCTTCAGTCTTGAAATCAGTCCTGAAATTTGTACAACTAAGATGTCCAGTATTTAAAAAATATATAATTGTGTATAAATTTCACATGTTTTCAGAATAAATGATTTTGTAATTTAATTTTCCTAAAGTAGGGTACTTTTGTGTGTTAAACTGAATCTAAAGATTGGTGACAAGGTTTAAAACATTATCCAAAGGGAGAGCAGCCAATTTATGCCTCTCTTGTCTCTTTGTGAGAATGACGTATACACCATCTTCATAGGTTAAGACTGCGGATCCATCTTAGAACTGAACCTAAGTAATTGAGGTTCACTCACACATTGTTTTCTCTCCTCACTCTGACATTAATCTTTTCATAACAAAAAGTGTCCTGACCCCACAAAATAATAATGGCATCTTATTTTATCATAGTTTGCCTGGCATAATAAAATGTTAGGCCTTCAACAGCAATTCCAAGTTAATATATATGCAACACATCATAATCTTACTAAGCATACGATTCATTGCCTCTACCAAAGACATCTAATGCAGGAGGTGTTCAGATGTTGTCAAACTATAACTCCTAGCTGCCAGAGGTAGCATTGCCAGTGATTTAAAAAAGTTGGAAATTTCAGTTCAACAACATTGGAAGAACCACATAATTCTTGCTCTGATCTGATTGATGGTTCCAGCTAGGTAAGAAGTTGTAAGATTTTTGAGATACATCACTTACTCTTCACAATACTGGAGAGCAATTTTGGGAGTGAGGATAATGTGAAATTCAGTCTCTTCTCTTAAAAGAAGCAGGATTCCAGCATTTTACATTACCTTTTCTTATTAAGAGATTTCTGATTTAGAATGCAGATAGTACAGGATTTGAAGCCAATCAAGATTGAAGAGATGGCATCATTCTGACTGGACGGAAAAAATGATGAAAACAACATTCACAAAAAAATTACAGAAAAGGGGAGAAAGAAAGACTATTAATATATTGCAGTAATCTCAACAAGGTAAGACAATAAAGATGTACCATGCTTGCATATATAAAATGGGCTCTTTTTAAAACTATTGCTGTATTTCAGAGTTCTTTCCTAACAGCAACAGTAAGGTTTTTTTTTTCTATGTCTTGAGACTAATAAAACTTGTCTGTTTCTATTTTATATCTTCAGAGCTTCATGTCCACATGTTGCTTTTATTTATTTTATTTGGAAGTTTTTTTTTCTTTTGAAAGCACTGTCAGTCTGTACTCGAAAGATGCACGAGACTGAATAACATCTGTATCCCTGGAGAGGAAGGTGTCTCAAGGTCACAGTTGATGTGGCCTGGCAAGGTAGCATCAGGGAGTCTACATTGTGAGAATAAATAAAGGGCTTCCCTGAGTGTCAGGACTTGGGAAGAAGGAGGCAAAATCATTAGATTTTGCATCAAGTTTGATATAGGATGGACCAATACCATGTAGACATATCAAGGATGTACTTGGTTAATAATTTGTTTTGTTGTATATCAGAGAAAACCAGCAGCACTTTTCAAAGCCTGCTTCTTCTCTGTTTCTGAGTATTAAAATATTCTGGATCAGTAAAAGGACTATTGGCAAGTGACACAAAGGGCTTAGAAAACAATTGATACTTCTTAATTATATGGTGTTTGACGTAGTCATCTTGTATCTAGAGACCGTTTCAGCATGATCAGGGCTATCTATATCCTGCAGTGATAAAAAGATTAAACATTTTGTTCCAAGGTAACTGAAATTCATTAATGAGGAAAAATTGTTTTTCTACAACAGCCCGCATGAAAATTAAGCAGATTTGTGTGATTTTGGTTTTGTTTTAGTTACATTTACAAACTTCACTCAGATGTACAGAAATTCAACCAGTTCCACCAAGTGACAAATGTTCCTTGATTCTGGAATGGTTGACTCCAGGTTTTCTTGTTTCTAAAGAAAGTTGGACCTCTGGCAGTAGTATGTGTTTAATATGCTTGATTTGTATAATTTATTTTGGACATAGAGGTTCCAGAAACTGTTACATAATTGTTAAGGCTACTCTGATACTCCATACAGACATAACAGTCTTGTGGATTAGTGATGCATAATAATTTTTGAAGATGAGGGCAGATCTCATGCCCATTCACTCATTCACTCCATCCTCACTTCCTTTTCCCTTCCCTTCTTCAGCACTGGGTTAGGTGCTATTGTTCTTTGAACCAGTTTATGTCTTACATCCGAATGTTTTGATCTCTGATGTATTGATCCAAAAGGTGTAACCAGGAAATTTGGATGCTGCAGACATCTTTCTAGGAAGGGAGGGAGGGAGGGAGGGAGGGAGGAAAGAAAGAAGGACCATTTCACAGGGTATTCATGTTCTAACTTTACATGTTACAGTGGGAACTGCGAATGTTCCAGATCCTTTGAAAATAAAATAGTAGAGATAATAACTGATAGGACATTTTTCCTAAAAGTGGAAATAGAGGTATTGAGTAAAGAAGTAGCCTCTCCTATGTTCCTGTCATCAGGAAGCCAGAAAAACCTCTACACCAGTGGTTCCCAAGCTTTGGGCCTCCAGGTGTTTTGAACTTCAGCTCCCACAGTTCCTAACAGCTGGTAAGCTGCCTGGGATTTCTGTGAGTTGAAGTCCAAAACATCTGGAGGCCCAAAGGCAGAAATCACAGCCAGCTTACCAGATGTTGGGAATTGTGGAAGCTGAAGTCCAAAACACTTGGAGGACCAAAAGGTTGAGAACCACTGCTTTACACAGATTATAGTTAGAGCATGATGTGATACTTCCATTGTATATATTGTTCATGAATATCCATCATTGCATGTTTTATGCTTATATTGTCTTCAGGGTCATTTCTTAAGTAGCATTCAGCAAGTGCATTCATGCTTTTCTCCTTAAGAAAATGTGAAGCACATATGGCTCCCTGATGTTGTTATAGCTACCTGCTTATCTCTAATGGTTGGTTGCACTGTTTAGTTGCCATCAATTCTAGTCCTCCTAGATGGTGGTGAGAACCATACTTCCCTCATCCTGTCTCAGAGTTACATAGACATGATATGCTTTGTGCAGTTCAGATCTGGTAACTGTTAATTCAGTGAACAGTTCTTCCATCTTGTTGTTCTCCAAAAAGTTTTCAAAAATGATTCTCACAGCCAGCACTGAAGGACTCAAAGTGGTTCACACAGTAGGAACCTTCGCCCATCAACTGCAGACAGCTTGAAAAGTATTTGTGTAAAACACAACTATAAGTTAATCATGAAATTTATGTGGACTGTTGTAAGCTGTTTCGACTTGCAAGGTTTTGTTCTTCAAAAAGCCACATTAATTAGGACTTTCAGCACCTCAAGGACGTGTTTCCAATAATTTAACTTCCTAATCATTCCATATATGTGGTAACGCTTACCTAAAAATATTTTTTTATCCCGTTCTTTAAAGCTTATAGAGATTCTAAGCTTCAGGAGCCATAGTGTATGGAAAATTCACCACTTACTGAGCAGCCTAAGTCTTAAGAAGTTCTATTGAACACCAGCTGGATTTTCTATGCACTGTGGATTTTCATTTTGTCTTTTAATTTTTACTTTAATGACTTACTTTTAATAAAAGAACAAAGTAACAACCAAGCTTTTAAAATAATAATAAAATGAGTGGACCTAAGAAGGAAAGAAAGAAAAATTAAATTGACTTATGGAAAATTCTTTAATTAAAAACTTGAGAAAATTCCATTAAGAAATGACTAAGTGTAGTTGTGTATGTGCATAAACTTTTGTAGACATCACCAATTCACTTCTAATAGAGTTTGGCTTTTGACAGAACACAGTTTGCACCAGTTTGATCAGAGTTTCTATGACTTTGGCCAGATTTCTCAATCAAGAGGTATCAAACTAGGCTCTTGGGATTCAAGCTTTACTGCAATTCTGTACGTAGAAGCCACAATATTAGGTAGATGAAATAATTTTGAAATACCTTAGATTTCCGTGTATTAATTCCTCCTAGATCCTATTACAGAATATACAGTTATTCCTCCACATTTGCCGGGTTTAGGGGTTCATAACCCCTCTGAATTAGGAAAACTGCAAATAAAAAAGCACCACCTTTTTAAAACATGAATGAACACATTTCTAGGAATCTCTATACCCTCCAGTATGACTGCCAGAGGTTGACCATGCTGCAAATTTCTAGAAAAGCATTCCTTCTAGGAATCTCTAAGTCCTCCAGCATAACTGGATGGTCAACCTCTGGTGAAAGTTGATCATAGATTAATGCTGGAGGACCTAGAGATTCCCGGACAGAGCATTTTACTCAAATCTGCAAATAGTGTACTCTACAAAGGTGAACAGCCAACTGTGAACAGTTAGCCCTCCATAGCCACAGATTCTGTATTCATACATTCAACTATATGTGGCTTGAAAATACAAAAAATAATTCAAAAAGTAAGC